CATTTAAAAACCTGGTTCTTGGAAGGCAGGGCTTCAGCCAAGCAGTAAGTATATATTAAGCACCTACGGCGTGCCTTAGGGAAGTGCTTTGTGAGGCTAAATTTTGTAAGGATGGGGAGATAGGAGTTCCTCTGTGAGGGGTCAGGAGTCCGGTGCAACCGCCCCACCCAAGTCCTGAAGTACAGGAGGCTTTCAGGCCTCCAAGTCAGGGCAGGGCAGCATGTGCTGTTTGAAGGGCTTTCTTCTTGGCAGAGTGTCCCTGAGAGCGACTCACAGCAGAGTTAAGACCTCAGAGGGTCTTCACAGTCACTTCTACTTCTGCTACCCCTGGGGCAAGCTGCTTAGCCCCTCTGGGCCTCAGTTTCCTGCTCTGTGAACAGGGCGTGATAATTGCATCTAATTTGCAGGGTGATCATTAGAACTGAACCAACCGGAGTGCGTGGTACAGGGCCTCGGGAACTAGTCGTTGCTCTTACTGAGCTGGGGCATATGCATATGTGATGGTGGCTGAGGTCTTCAGGGGATGTCAGAAGCTGGCTCTGCTCTGTTTACAAGCCTCAGTTTCCCCATCGGTCATGGTTGCCGTATAACTCTTGCACGGTCTGCATCATGGGGCTTTTGTGGGGATCAAAGAGGTCCCAGAGCGCGTAGGTGCGGCCCTGTGATCTGCACATCGAGAGAACGGGTCCCGGGGAGAGGGGGCGGCGGGAACACGGTGGGCGGCGGCGGTACAGGTGCAGCCATTGTGGCGCGCAGGTGTGCCATTGTGGGTCGGGAGAGGCGCGGCAGTTCGCTCTAGGGAGAAGGGAGACGGCAGGCTCTAGGACCACCTCCGCACAAGAGAAAGAGTGAGGAGTGCGGGGGGCTGGTGGTGGCAAATGCACAGCCGAGAAAACAAGACGGTCCTTCCGGGCGCCCTCAGGGTCCCCACTCGCCCCAGGAGAGACGCCCGGGGCGCTGTCCCGGGGCGCTGTCCCTGGTGCTGGAGCCCGGCTGGCCCTCACCCTGAAGTTCCTGTGATGGCCAGCTGAGGGCGTCCGGGACCGCGGCGGACTCCTCAGGCCCGATTCAGAACACTACTTACAAGCGCATTGTTTACCTTCCTAACGGCATTCCTAGATAATAAGCCTACCTACGCACCCATTTCAAAAGCCAAACAATATAATGCCCTAAGAGAAGTAAAAGCCCTCTACTTCCATAGCTAAATACCCTGGCATGATCACACCCCAGGACCTAATGGAGTAACCAAATGCTTGCACCTGTGTGATATGTATGTGTAACCTTTACATTTAAGGGCAGAAAAATATTATAACTATACCTGATTTCTAGTTCAGAGTGGCTTCCAGTAGTTGCATCTTTGGAAGACTCAGTATGTATTAAACCCACACTAAAAAATACTCGCATGTAAACCAGAGTTAGGTTCTAGGAAGGGATAAACAGGCCTTTCATCCACGTGAATGTCTGCAAGGATATTTGATGCATGGCAGGTCTTCAGGTGGGACTCTCCTGACAAAGCTCTCCTGGCCTCTACCCACTGAACGACAGTGGTCCCTTGTAATTGCTAAAGAGCAAAACCACCCTCATGTATTTCTCTAAAGTCCTTTAGGGGGCAGAACCACCCCTGTTGAGAACCACTGTCATGGTGAGGACCTTGGCCAGGTGAAGAGGGGTTCACAGAATCCCAGAGTGGCTGGGTGGGAAGGGCTGGCACTTTAGGGAATTGTCAGGGCATCCTGTCCCCCACCTTATTTTTTTTCTATTTTTTTAAATGTTATTTATTTTTGAGAGACAGAGGGAGAGACAGAGCACGAGTGAGGAAGGAGCAGAGAGAGGGAGACACAGAATCCGAAGCAGGCTCCAGGCTCCGAGCTGTCAGCACAGAGCCTGACGTGGGGCTCGAGCTCACGAACCGTGAGATCATGACCTGAGCCGAAGTCGGCGTTTAACCGACAGAGCCACCCAGGTGCCCTTCCTGTCCCCCATCTTAAAGATGCACCAGCGGAGGCTCCAAGTGGGAAGGGTTTTGTGCTAGGACACATGAGTGACCAACAGAGCTCGGAGGGGGGGGGCTGCAACCCAAGTCTCCTGCCCCCAGTACAGGGTTTGGTCAGCCCACCTGCCCTGGGTGGAGCTCTGGGCATCTAGCAGTCTTCCTTCCAGTTCAGCCTACCTGAAAATGGGCAGAGAGGGCCATGCCATTAGCAGGGGGGCAGGAGAGGGAGGCTGGCTGGATTCCAGCTTATAATACGTGAGAGGGGCCTCGGCCTCCCCTGTCCTTGGGGATGCAGCAGTTGCATGGACCACCCCCGTCCACCTCCCCCAAAGCCATCCTCTCTCCAACCTCTATTTCTTCCAATAGTTAGCTGGCCACACCGTGTGTGTGTGTGTGTGTGTGTGTGTGTGTGTGTGTGTGATATGTGTATGCACATGTGTCTGTGTGCGTATATTGTGTGAGCATAATGTACTCTAAGTGCGTGTGCATGTATCTGTTGTCATTGGTGTGTGTTCACAAACACACAGATGTGTATACAGATGCAGCCACAGTCAGTAGGTGAGTGCACACTGATTTGGGGCCTGTGTGTAAGCTCAATTTGACCTTTGTGTATATGTATGGAGGTGCTTTGCAATGTAGGGACTGACGTTTATGTAAGCATGTCTGCATGCATTTGATCTTGATATGATCTCTATAGGTGCATGCTAGACGTCTCTGGGCACAGTACAAGGGCGAGCGTACGTGTGGCCTGGTGGAATTTCTGTGCAGGTGTGCATGCAGCCGTGCCACCAACATTGTCTGTCTCGTCCATCCCCTATCACTAGTGCCTGAACAGCGTCAGTAACACAGTAAGTGCTCAGTGTGTATTTGTGGAGTGACTGAAGGGAGAAAGAAGTACCCTCATGGTTGTGTTTGTTTCCAGAAGGGCTTTGCTCTCAGGGACCCTCCAGGCACACAGTCCATATGGTGAACAGAGACACATCCTCAATGGTGGGAGACTGAGTGGAGGCATTTATTCTGGTCATTCTGGCCAGGCCAGGCCAGATTGTCCTGGTCTCTGGTGGGGACACTTTGAGTTCTCAGGAACCCACTGAATGAGACAGAGGTCCCAGAGCCAGGACAGGGGATGGCTAGGTCAATAACCTCACTAGGAAGCTGCTCTCCAAGCAGCTTCCTCCCTTCACAGGGCCTTGGGACTGCCCCAGGAGACTCCTCGGAATTCAGGGTTTATAGCATCTTGGGATTGGGTAGGTGTGGCTTGGCCAGAAAAGCCATGAGCTAAGGATAATGATGCCTTGAATCCATGGAATTCTCTAAAGGCAAGTGCATTTTTCCATTATTATGTCTTTAACCCATCAAAATGAGTGTGGGTGTTTTAACAGATGAGCAAACTGAGGCCCAGGGAGGAAAGCTGATTAGTGCGGAGTGACACAGGAGGCTGCATGGCTGGGCAGGAAGCCCAGGACCGCCCTGTCTCCTGCCCAGGAGGTTCCAGGCAGATATCCTGAATGGGAAACAAGAATTGACCCCACCAGCTCCATCTGGAGCCTGGGCTGGAGATCTTCCCAGGAGTCTGCCCCTCCCTATGCCCTTACATTTCCCTGCTGAGGGTTGAGAAGGGGGAGTTGGAGGCAGGTAGGTGGGACTCCCAGAGTTCAATCAGGGGTGAACTTGGAAAGGGAACTCTGCACCCTTCCCTCCTCCTTCGCACAGTCTGGCACCTGTTTGAACAACTTGGGTACAAATCTAGGAGGCCCAGAAGAGGAAGCTTCCACCAAGGGAGGGCCTGAACCCTGGGGGGAAGCCTGGCTCTGGTTTCTAGGCGAGAGGCCGGAGGGAAAAGAAGAAGGGAGCTCTGTCCGACCTCAGAGATGGCAAGGACTTCCCAGTGCCAGTCAGGGAGCACGGGGTCCGTGCTGACCTGAGAGTATTGAGTTCTCAGTGGAGGCCAGGTGTCTGGGAGGGGGCGGGGGGATGTTAAATAATGTGTTTGAGGTCACACAGCTAGGAAGCGTCAGAGCCTGGTCCAGCGCCTCGGCGCCCACGCCCTCACTGCACTGCCTCTGTGTATGTCTGTGTGTCTGTCTGTCTTGGAGGTTATTTCACTTGCCCACGCATAGATCTGCCCCATTCTTTCCAACAGCTGCATGGTATAAGTGGACCTTAATTTATTTATCTGGTTCCCTCTGGATGGTCATTAGTTTGTTTTGGAACTCCTACTAATAAATCTTCGCTAACTCTACAAAAATGATGACTTCGTGTAGTTCAGCCTAATGAAAAACGAGGCTGCAGCCGGTGTTTTATTTAACCAACACATGCTTTTCAAAGGCTCTCTGCAGTGCTTTAGAACTATCAATGTAGTTAATCCTTGGCAAAACCCTTTGAAATGGGTACTGTTATTTTTGTCATAAACCCCATTTGCAGATGAGGAAACTGAGGCACAGAAAGATTAAGTGACTTGCCCAAGGTCACCCAGCTGACAGGTGGGAGAGCTGGGATTTGAACCCTGGGAGAGTTGATGAAGATCTAAGCACGTGCCTCCCTGTCCCTTTGTCCTTGGCCATTCCTCTTCAGGCTTACACGGTGTGATGTGGCAAAGGGGTAAGTTCTCGGAAGTGGTCTTGCAGTTTAAAAAAGCGCATTTAAATTCTGCTGTTGCTGGAGGGACCAGAAGCTGGCCAGGGAGTGTCCTGTGCGTCCCTGGCTGAGGGAACGTGACCCCCACCCCCACCCCACCCCCAGCTCTTGCCAATGAGGCAGCTGCAGCTGGTCAGAACCCAAGAGGCTGGAGCCCACACTGGGCTCTTTGTCTTCGGTGGGAATCCTGCAGCCCCCACAACCCCTCTCAAGGGCCCACTGTCCCAGCACCAGCAGGGCCTCCCGGGGGCCAGGCCCGGCTGGGAAACTTGGCACATTGGACATTGCTTGGCCACCCTGCCAACTGGAGATGCAGAGTCCACTCAGAAATCATTCCCACTGAAAAGACAGACTGATGAGGCTGAGGGCCATGTCCAAGGGGGTACAGCAGCCTGGAAAGGCCTGGAGTCTTGGGCCCCAGTTCTGGCGCTGTGTATACCCCACCATGGCCCAGGCCCAGCTCCTGGTCCCCCGTCTCTCCCAGCGCTCTGGGCACCCCTGCTGCTGTTACCGCTTAGGAAGAGAAGACTTCCTCCTCTTTAGGCCAGCCTCTGTTCTCCTAGGGGCTTGCCCCTCGGGAGCCCTGCTGGACTGCCCTGTGCGGAGTGGGCTTCCTACACTGGCCTGGGCTGGTCCCTCCACCCAGGAATCTGTGGGCCTTCCCAGAGCAGAAGGGGCCCAGCCCTGGCTCCAGAGCACCCTGCCAAGAGGGAACCAGACGCTCCTCTAAAAACCGAACCAAAGGGATAGTTCTAGGCACAAGAGAATCTCCTTTGCCCTGCCTGGCTTCTGAACAAGGGGCTCTTGAGGGCTCCTCTGCTCATCAGAGTGTGCAGGGAGAAGGGGCCCAGGGTGGGGGGTAGGGTGGGGGTAGGGTGGGGGTGGGTGGGATCTGGGGGCTGACCCCCCAAGAGAGACATAATTACTGTGAACCAAGGTCTCAGTTTCTTCATGTCTGAGATGGGGAGATCCAGCACACCACAGCCCTCTGCCTGAGTGAAGCTAACTGTGAAGGTCGATACCCAGACCAGACATTTCCCAGGGGAAGCTGGGGCTAACTGAGCCCTGGCCCAGGGCCCAGGCGGAACCATTCCTGAAAGGCTTCTGAAGAACCCCTCCTACCCTAACTCCCTGCCCTATCGCTGTACCTTTGGTCGTCCTTCCCCCGCTTCCCCCACCGCATCTGTTCTGTGCATTCCCTTAATCAGAAAACCCCACGGAAAACCTCAAGACTCTGAGGGCCTCCCTGGGGTGATCCCTCCCTCTTCGGGGGCCAGAGTGGGCATTCTGGAAGGGGTGGGTGAGTCCTCGGAGCAGGACCAGTGTTCGGTGCCTACTGACACATCTTTTTCTGGGGGTGGGAGAGACTGCTTCCTGCAGGGTGGAACCCTGGGCTGTGTGCTCTGGGTGAGCAGCAGGCAGAGGAGAGGCTCAGAGCGTTTGTTGAGTGAGTGACCCCCCTGTAGGACTCCGCGCAGTTCCTCGTCGGAAGGTTGCTGAGGGAGGGAACCTAGTGGGGCATCTCTATTCCTGCCCCCCTGCTTCTCCTCCTCACTGGGCAGTGGGGGGCACCTAGGAGAGGGGGATGAAAATGGGCAATAGAAGGGCATTCTGGAGACTGTTCCTTCCTTCACTCATCCATTTGTGGCAAGAGCAGAGCGGGACTCTTGTAGCAGCTATTTATTAAGCATTTCTTGTGTGCCAGGCCTGGGCTGGAATTAACTCATTCCATCACTGTGTGTGTGTGTGTGTGTGTGTGTGTGTGTGTGTGTGTTTGAGGGGGGGAGGGTGGTTCCATTTTACGGGTGAGAAATTAGAGGTGCAGGGAGGGCAGGGACGGCAGGGACTTGCCCACAGTGAGACCATTTTGGCCCTGGATTCCTGGATTCCAAGTTCTTGACCCGGCCCACTGTGAGCTCCCCCCTCGTGATGGCGGGGGACAGATCCGCCGGCACAGGCCAACGCCTCTAGGGAGATGGAACAGGGTGTCGCCCCCAGAAGAGGGTCTGCGGCTCCGTGCGCCCCTGATCTGAGGGGGTGGAGGGTCCCTTCCCCACGGAAGTGCAGTCCGCCCCGCATCCCCCATCCCCCCTCCGAGTTCCCCGCTCGGAAAGTCCCGCGAAGCCCCCGCCCCCGGCCCGCGGGCGGCGCGAACAAGCGGCCCTTTCTGCGCGCGGCGGCCCCGGCAGCTGGCCAGTAGCCCGCGGGGGCGCGGACAATCCCGGGGCTTCAGGCGGGGGCGCCGATGCTGCCAAGGCTGACCAGGGGCGGGAAAAGGCGGCGGCAAGCGGCGGGCGGCGAGGCACCATGAGCCGGAAGCTTCACTCTCGGGGCCCATGCCGAGGTAGGTGCGCCGGGCGGGGGCGCCCGTGTGCGCGTGTGGGAGCCTGCCCTGGTCAGGGCCTGGGGTGGGTCTGCAACCTCAGAGTTTGTTTATGCAGGAGGGGGCGCGCTTTGGCGGGGTGTGTGTGTGTGTGTGTGTGTGTGTGTGTGTTTGCGCGTGTGCCTGTGGGTTCCAGCTGGCAGCCCATGGGCACGCGTGGGCACGGTGGGCTGCTCAGTGCGTGACAGTGCTTACGCATATGACTAGTGTGCGGACCCGCCGGCCGGCCGGGCCTGTGTGTGTGCATTCCTAGGTCAGGGGGAGGCCCTGCAGGAACCCCCACTTGACGTCTGAAGTTGCTGGAAGGAGAGAACTTGGAAGCCATTAGCAGGCCCATGCCCTCCCTAGGGCACCTGGGCTGCCCCTATCTTGTGCCACCTGGCTCACAGGAACCTTCTCCTCCCGGGGGTTCCTGGCTGTCAGGGCTTGGAGAGCTAAGGCTGGGGAGGCGGAGTGGTGGCCGGTCCATCTTGGGGGTCGCTGTCTCTCCTGACCCGAAGCGGCCACATCAGAGGAGTGTTGGGGGGATTGTTGCCTTAGGCAGGGATTTTGTAAATTGGAAGAAGGACTGGGCAGAGAGACTGGGGCTGGGGCCCCTTCCCTGTCCTGCCGAGTAGTTGCATAACCTTCCGTCAGGCCCTGCCTCCTTGTGGTCAGAGAAGCACACAGGACCCACCTTTGGGGTGCAGAGCAATTGGAGCTCACACCTATAACACCGCCAGTGCACAACAGGTGCTCCTTGGGCTGTAGGGGTTGTGTTCAAGGTGCCACCCCTTGCCGAATGCCCAGCCTCCAAAGGGACCCTGGCAGAGAGGCTGGGTGGGGTGGGGGATGGGAGGGCTGCCCTCCTTCTCAGGGGCTCTGCTAGCCGCTAAGCAATGAGAGGAGCCTGGGCCAGCCTGAGAGTCCTGGTCAACTGACATGGAGGGGCACCCCGGTTTGTGGAGCTGGGTTCTGTCGTGGGAGCTTGGGCAAGGCCTGGCCTCTCTCACCTCACTTTCCTTGTCTGCAGATCATGAGCTGATCCCTAAGGAGACCCCAGCCCTGCCTCCCCAGCTGGCAGAGTGCGGTTTGGGGCCCCTTCCCCATTCTCCTCTGGCCTCTGGGCAAGAGGCAAGAGTTGTTTGTTGTCCCAACAGCTGCCCAGCCCCTTGGCCCTCAGCTGGGCAGGAGGGTGGAGCTCTCTCCAGCCCTCCCCCTTCCCAAGGTGCCCTCAGAGGGCAATGTCCACACCTCTCTTTGAGGCTGGACTTGGAGGGATTTGGGGGAAACAAAGCCTGAGCTCCCGGGGTTTAAGGTCTTCCTCTGGCTCTGCTTTGAGGGGCAGGGTGTGTGTGTGTGTGTGTGTGTGTGTGTGTGTGTTGGGGGTGGGGTGGGAGAGGAAGCTCCTCGTGAGCTCCTGCTCTCAGATCCCCAGGCGTTTGTCCCCTGGGTGAGTATGAGTGAGCTCCAGCTCCGGGATGGAGGCAGGCTGCCAGGAAAGGGGGGTGGTTTCTTCCTGCCCACCGTAAACCATAAACACCCACACCCTTCAATCCTGTCTGGAAACACTCTAAGTTGGCCTGTGCTGCACCCCTACATCTCTGCTCTGACCCCAAATTGCTTTAGTCACTGTCTCACTCCACTTATTCCAAAACCTCCCACACTGACCCCCACTTCTGCTGCTACCCCACTCTCTGGTCCTGGGCCCCTGCTCCCCGACCCCTGTGCCCCCAACCCTGCCTTTATTCCATACTCTCTCACCCCACACCTTCCCATGTCCCTAGTCTAACATTGGGGCCCCTGCAGCCTATGGGGGATGGTGATAGTGCATCAGGCACCCAAGAAGCAATATCTCCTCCAGGCCCTTCTGGGAGGGTGGGGGGTGAGTTGGGATTGGCCTGATGTGCTAAGCAAGGCTGAGTGGGAAGGGGCTGCCCCCTCACCTGCTGCCCCTCTTGCATGTATGTTTCAGGGTGGACAAGTCCTTCTCCCCTCGCCGGAGCGTGTGGTGAGTACTGGGGGCTCTCAGGAGGGGCTGGGCTGCTTGGCTGGGCCTTGGGAACATTCCCAAACCATTACCACCCCCTATAATGACAGACCAGACCCCACCAACCCTTCAGCCACCCTCTCCAGGTGACGGCGTAGACGGACCCTCTTACCCGTTCTTCCCCCACCGATCTTCTCCTATAATTCTTTCTAGAGCTCCAACTTGGAGTCAAGGCAAATCAGGTTAAATATCAGCTCTGCCCACTGTCCGGGTGACCTTAGTGATTCACTAACCTCTCTGAACCTCAGTGTTCTCATCTGTGAAATGGGGACTAAAATGCCTACTTAACAGAGTGTAAAATTGTAAATAAACAAACAAACCTAAAAAAACAAAAAACAGGGCCTGGAGTACCGAAGCCCCTCACCAAAAGTGCTTCCTTCCTTCTCTATTCCTTCCCACCTCATGGCTCCTCGGGGGGTGGGGGTGGGAGTGCCCTTAGCCTTTTCGCTGAACCCCAAGTCCTCTAGTCACACTCCATACATAGCCTTCAGAACCCCCTCCTGCAGCCCATGACCTAAGTCCAAGGCTGTCCTCGCTTTGGAGGAAGAGGGGGAGCTGTGTCTGCAGCTTCCCCAACACTGAGAGCCGCGGGTGGAGGTGCAGCCTCACCTCGGGATTCACAGCACCCCCGATGCCCAGCAGGCGGGTGCCTCCCAGCTTCCTGGCACCAGCATCACATGGGCCCAGCTGGCTGCTCCTGCGGCAGCTTCAACTCCAGTGGGAAAGCTCGCATTTCCTGCCCCTGCTGGGGGCTTCCTGGGGTCCCTAGGCCTTGCAGTGCCTCCCAGGTACTAGGTGACTCCTCTCTGACACCACTGCCCCACCTGCTGCCAGAGCCCCCCTAGGAAGCCACTTCTGGGGTGGGAGGCACCCAGGTGCCCAGGCTGAGCTCCAGAGCTTGCCCTTTATTTTCCTTTGATGCTCTCTGTGCAACCTAGGTCCAGCTACTCCCCCTCTCTGGGCTTTATCTCCTGCTGCTGGACCCAGTTTATCCGAGCCTCTACGACTAGGGCAAGACCATATGCTAAGCCCAGAGCAGGGATAGGATGAGGGGAGATACAGATAAAGGTGAGGAGGATGCCATCCTTTTTTCAAGGACTTCATTAATACTATCCTAGCAACTGGGGCACCTGCATGGCTTAGTCAGTTAAGTGTTTGACTCTTGATTTTGGCTCAGGTCATGATCTCACAGTTCATGTGTTGAAGCCCTGTGTTGGTCTCTGCACTGACAGCATGGAGCCTGCCTGGGATTCTCTCTCTCTCTCTCTCTCTCTCTCTCAAAATAAATAAATATAAAAAAGAAAACCATCTTAACAACTGCCACTTGTTAAGCACCTGCTGTGTACCAGGTACTGTTAGCTGCTTGCGCTGTATCATCTCACGTAATTTTTACCACCTCCCTGAATTATGGACTATAACCTCTAATTACAGAGGAGAACAGTAATGCACAGAGGAGGGAAGTGACTTGCCCAAGGTCACACAGCTATTCAGGGCAGAGCTGGGATTTGAATCTTAACCTTCCAGAATGCAGAGCCCAGAGTCTCATGCACTCTGTCCCAGGACCTCCAGGCCACAGGGTGGGTCTGAGCACTTGAGGGAAGACTTGAAGATGGAAGGGTGACCCAGAAAGCCCTCTCTAGGGAACCCTGAAGGAAGTGTCAGAGATGAGGGCCCAGAACTGAGAGTAAGTAACCAGCTGTGTGACTTTTGGCAAATCCATTCCTCTCTCTGGGCCACAGTTGACACAACTCTAAAGTAAGATTTTGGAATCACCAGGATTTGCCCATTACCCACAATGCCTTGCCCCACACCTTCCTCGCTGGAGATGCTGTCCAAGGTGCTAACCCCTGAGGCCCTCTCTCCTAAACAACTGCTTAGCTCCCAGCCTGTGCCTGGCATATAGTTACTGCTCTGTAAATGGGGGTCATATTGATTATTAATTTTGATTTCCTGGCCTGTGATTCAAAGCCTTTATCCACTTACCCTTTTCAGTCTGGAACTCATGTCCCTCGTGACTTACATTTCTTAAAAAAAAATTTTTTATTGTTTACTCAATTTTGAGAGAGAGACAGAGAGACAGAGAGAGACAGTGTGAGCAGGGGAGGGACAGAGAGAGAGGGAGACACAGAATCCAAGGCAGGCATTAGACTCCGTGGTCAGCACAGAACGCGACGCGTGGCTCGAACTCACAAACCGTGAGATCATAACCTGAGCCCAAGTCAGACGCTTAACCAACTGAACCACCCAAGGTGCCCCTTTTGTAACCTGCATTTCTGATCAATGGGAATATTGCCCCTGAGAATACCACCTCCATTCCTTTGCTCACATTTTCCCATCCCCTTGGCATGTCCTACCCTCCCATTTCCACAAGCCCCCGCCACACCTCCGGCCTACCTTTATCACTGTCTGTTGAGGGTTTTCTTTCCTGATCCCCACTCCCCATCTTTCTATCCTTAAAATCCCTCCCTCTGCTCATTATGCCTCACATTAGTCTCATTTCTGGGATAGTGGAAAGAGCACGACCTTCAGAGCCTGACAGGTGTGGACTTGAATCGGCCTCTGCTGCACGTTAGTGGTGTTACTTTAGGCAGGTCACGTCCCCTCTGAGCCACTTGATGTGCAATGCATGTTGAATTGGATCTCTCAGTCCAGTTGAATGTGTGCACATAACGCCGTGGTACCAGGCAGGCTCCAAGATCCTCGAGAACAGGGGTTCCCTGGGTTACTTTTGACTTAGGCTCATTTTCTAGCATGAGTCACCAAAAAGCTGAGCTGTATTCTTCCCATCTCTCTGTCCTCCACACAGTCTTACACAGCTTCCTGAACCCAGTAAATGCTTAATAAATGTTGGTGGAATTGAATTAAATGTGGCCAGAGAGTGGAACAGTTGAAACTTTGTCAAGTAGGCTGTGAGAGCTTCCTGGAGGAGATGTGGTTTCCTCTGCCCCTTTTTAAAAAAGGGTTAAGAGGGGTGTCTGGCTGGCTCAGTTGTTGGAGCTGGAACACGAGACTCTTGATCTTGGGATCGTGAGTTCGAGCCCCATGTTGGGTGTAAAGAATACAAAAAAGATTTTTTTTAAACTTTTCAATGTTTAAAAAGGATTAAGAAGTTGGGGCTTAAATTGAGGAGCAGTCAGGCCTGGTAGAGGCCAGATGTGGCCAGATCATGGCTGGATTCCCCTACCCCCCCACCCCTCATCAGCAGGTTACCTGTGGTGAAGAAGCTCAGAACAAGTGTGAAAAAAGAATGGGGCCCAGTGGGAGGATTAGGAGCCAGTGGGACAGTGGGTGACTCTGCTTCTGCAGACCTAATGGGTATTGGGCATTTAAGGTGGATTCAGATGGTGAGGGGAGGAAGGAGGTGGAGTGATGTCGGGGTGGGGGAATGGCCAGGTAGAGTTGTGCAGGGGAGGGGTTCTGGAAATGACCTGAGAAGAGGACCTTAAAGCTGGGAGCCTGGGGGGAGGAGGCAGGACCCAGCAAGGATTAAGTGCCAGTGGGTGCTGAGCATTTTTTCCCTAGGCGTTTGTTTATGGTGGTCTCCGTTGTGATGACAATTTTTTCCAGGCATTTGTTTACGGTGGTCCACTATGATGACACTTTTGCAGGTTGGCAAGAGCGCCCCCATTTTGGAGGCCAAAAGCAAGACTGAGAACTGGTGAGGGCTGGATTTGAATCCAGCCGTTTCTCCTGCCAAGGAAGGGACCTTGGCCCAATGAGGAAGCCACAGGAATGAGGGAAGCTCTGATTATGGGCTGAGCTGATCCTGAGCACCTCCAAAACAGAGGCCGCTGCCCAGCCCCATGTATCCCACTGGGAGGGCCCATCCGGTCGCCCAGATATCTCCAGGAAATGCTACCATATATGAAGCATCTCCTGGGTCTCAGGCCCTGGGCCGAGCCCTGCAAAGAATCACTTCATTCCGTCCTTATACCAGCTTTACAAAGTGGAGACTGTTACCATCCATTCGCCATTTTACAGATGAGGAAACTGAGGCTCAGAGAGGAGACGTGGCTGGACCAGGGGCACACAGTGAGTGGTGAACCAAGACTGGTAGTGTGGTCAGCCTGAGCCCCTGAGCCCAGACCTTTAGCCCTCGCTTTCTCGGATGCTGTGTGTGCTGAGTGCGGGGCTGCGGTGGGTGGCCCCTGTCCTCAGGTGGCTCTCTGTAATCACTGAGCTGGAAGCCCTGGGGGCCCGTGTGCTGCTGCAGGAAGCATGAGGCTGGCCTCATTAGTGGCTCTGAAATGCCAGGCAGGCACAGCCCGCTGGGCCTCCTCATCTATTATGCATCTGGTGGGCAGGCCCCCAGCGGGCAGCTGGCAGAGCACAGGACGGGGGAGCCAGCAGCTGCTTCCTGAGCCCACACCTGCCACCACACCTCTGGGCAGGGACTCCCCCAAGACATGCCAAGGCAGCTGCTGCCTCATTCCCCCGGCCCAGCTAGGGTGAGGGGGTCCCACTGCAGCCAGAGGCACGGATGCTGATCCCCAGCTCATTAGCCTGCCTGTCCCCGCAGCCACTCCTGAGAGAGGCTGGGACCTTGACTGAGCTGGGCTCACTTGGGGCTAGGGTGGGCAGAGGTAGGCTGAAACAGAATCTTAGGTGCACGGGCACCTGACTGCACAGATAAAGTGTGGTCACTTATTCATCATTCATTCATTTATTTATTCAGCCACAAGTAACTACTGAGCAACACTACGTGCCAGGTGCATTCTAGGGACTGCAGTTCCAGCAGAAAATGAGACAGACCCAGTCCCGATCTTCAGAGAGCTTGGTGTGGCCAGTATTTCACGTCTTTGAGCCTCAATTTCCTCATCCATAAAATGGGGAATAGAGGAGACAGTCTGTCAATAGATAAGGACAGAACCGCAGTGGTTGTGCTCAATTTTAAAGATTTTATTTTATTTTTTCAAATATATTTTTTTAATGTTTATTTATTTTTGAGAGAGACAGAGACA